GCGAGGCCGGTCGTCGGCGGACACCAGGTCGCCGAGAGGCGCCGGCCCCGCGGAGCCGAGACGGGACAGACAGGCAGGCGGCTCTATAGATGTAAAATATTTTATTTGTAAATGGTGATCTTCTAAATCTGTGTCCACAAATTCCAAAACCCATAACACTCTGTATACTTCAAAAAATTCAATTTTGCCCACATTACATACTATTATACAGAACAGAAAACAAATACTGGCAGATGTCAGAGTATGGTACAAGAGGAGAAAAATATCCAGGAAACGAAGTTCATACAGCTGCTGGCCGGGAGAGAAGTCTGTACAGCGGGCTCGCTGCCGGCAGGGGAGGCGGGCCCGGGCTCTCGGTGCGGAAGGAGCTAACCTGGGTCAAATGCCGATTAAGTTTCTACGCGCAAACACAAAACAGTGTTCTTTTATTAAGGAAATGTAAACAAACGTCCGTACAAACACGTGAAATCACGTGGCTCCGGGGCCCTGTCCGTCTCCGTGAGGACAGAGGCGGGGTCGGCGCGAGGCCGCTGCGCGATCCCGTGACGTTTACATGATTCTCGGTGGCCTGAAACGGAGTCCTAATCAAAACTACTTCCGCTGGAGAAAATTCCAGCCTCCATTTGGGTGTCTCGGTAAGCAGTTATTCACAGTTATCACAAATTGTAAGCACAAAAAAACCTGACCGAAAAGTGGGGATGCAACAATAGAATATGAAAAAATTAGTTTAAGTTACCAAAACAGCTATAAAAGGGGCGGCCGGCGCGCCCCGGCCGCCCAGGGAAGGTGTATAAAAGCACGACGAACTGCCAGGCCCCCGCTCCCGAAAAGCCCGACACTCGGGGTGACGTTTCGGCGGCGGCGCCGTCGGGGCGGGTTTCGCGGCACAGTGGCGGGCGCCACCGGGGCATCTTACATGCGCCGCCGCCGCCGCGGGGCCTGGGGGCTTTTGGTCAATAACTATCTTTATACTGTAATTTATCTCAAAATATTTACATCTTTGTACAAAGTAACAGGGTCGGTTAGTTCTGCAGGTAACAGCAGCAGCTTGGCTTTCGTCTAACTTTTATTTAAAAATAGCTTCATTCACTTATTCAATAATAAATACAAAAAGTTTCTCTTATTTTACAGAAATCAAAAACTACAATAAACTGACTCATGGAATCAAGTATTTAAATGTATTTTAGTGCAAGTTATTATCCCTTAGCTCTAGCCCTAAGGAAGTCATCTCGGTACATTCCTCGCTCAGTGGTGTCTACTCTAGACTAGGTCAGAGGCCCCCTGCGGCCGCGCCGGCCCGGGCGTCTCCCTCGCTGGTGAGCTCAGTCGTACATTCATGAAGCGCCCCGGCCGGGCAGGGCCGCCCTCGGCTCTTTGCCCCAGTAAAGTTTCTCCTTAGTGAGACTAAAGACAAAACCAAACCAAACCCACCCACGAAAGGAAAGAGAAAGGGAAAGAACGAAAGTGCTGGACGTCTGGCGCCGCCCTGTGGCCGGCCGCCGAGGCCGAGGCGGCCGG